AAGTACACTTCATGCCCAGCACTGAGCCCAATGATGGGCTTGAACTCATGACCCTGAGATCAAGACCTGAGCTGAGATCAAGAGTCTGACGCTTAACCGATGGAGCCACCCAGGCACACTTTCCTTCCTTCTTCAGGCTTCAACTTCCCCCCAACAACCCCAGGCTCCTCTGAAAAGGGGTCCTGAGGGTTCAGGGGAGGCTGAAGGAGAGGGACTTGTCAGCCTGAGAGGCTGCACCAGAACAGCTTGTAAGTATAGCAAAAAGGATTTAAGTGAGACCCAGATTGCCTATACTTGCCTGGTCCTAAGTGTCACTGGAGGGACTTGTTAAAATACAGATTATGAGCCCTCCCCCAAACCTCCTAAACCAGAATCTACAGGGACCAGATATAGGAATCTGTTATTGAGTGGGGTAGACAGCGGTCTGGGGCCTCAGCCCACCCACCCTGAGCATTCCTTCCTAGAATCTAGAGTTTTGAAGACCTCATGAGCTTAAGATTTTATTTTAAAAAACAAATCTGAAGATCTAGGCTCTAGAATATCTGGGCCCTGATCCTAGGACGCTGGGGACCCCAAGGGGCTCGGCACTAAGTGAGGGTTTCTTTCTGGTCTGCCCTAAATCCCTGCTGCTGCAGTTGCTATTTCAATCTGTTCCCTCTGGTTGTGTACTCAGAGGGGGGAGAACAGGAGGTCATCTCCTCAACTGAGACTTCTTGGGGGTGGGGGGAGCATTTCTAAAGGAAAGAGGAGGGAGAGTGGAGACTTTTGGCTTGCTGCCTGAGTTCTAGTCCTCTGGCCTGCTTTCTAGCCCAGGGGCCTGGATGTGCATTGGATCTGGGGCACAGGGCTTCAACCCAATTCCACCAGGGGGCCTCGCTCCCACACCCACACGTGGAGGCTGAGCCCAGCAGGACAGAGTGCCTCCCCTGTGGTCAGGGCTCTGTCTGAGCTCCCAGGAGGCCTGAGACTTGAAAGCATAAGCAGCTTCACCTGATGCTCATTTTACACCAGCCTCAAAGCCAAGGTTAAGAACAAATCAAGGACTCCTTGGGAGGCCCCTACCTCATCCCCCAACTTCCAGCAGCTGCCTCAGGCTGGCTCCAGCCCTACCTGCCCTGCCATGTCCTCCTGCAGCTGGGAGCCGGGTGGAGGTTCTGCCAACACTGGGCACTGGGCCGTGTCCTTGGTTTCTGGGGGTGGGCAGACAAGGGACAGCATTGAGCTCCACTCTGGGCGGGGGGCCCAGAGTCCCTGCCCGGGCTGAGGGCCAGTTGAGCCCAGAAATAGCCAAGCCAGGACCCCCCTCTTCTTTCTGACCCAAGAGAGGGGTACATAAGGGGGGGGGGGGCTTCAGGTCAGAGAGTCAAACAATGCCCCAAGCCCTCACTCTGAACCTTCATGTGCCCTGGGATACATCATCCTCTCTGGCCTTTGTGAACCCATCTGCAGAATGGGAGCATCACTTCTGCTCTCCTTCCCCAGGGCTGGTAGGAGTACCTGAGGTCATGAATGCTGAGAAAGTAGAAATCCAAGGCAGAACAAACTCTTACAGAGGTCAAGGGAAAAGTCAGCTATGGTCCACTCTTTCCACCACTACATTTGACAAACGGGGAAACTGAGGCACAGAACCAGGAGAGGATGTGCCCAAGGTCACACAATGGAGGAGCTGCCTCTAAAACTCAAAAGTAGCTTCCTTCTGTGCCTAGATGGGCTGGAGGTGCTGGATTAACCAACCCCCAGTTTCCCAGGCCCTCCGTGAGATCCTCCCACAAGATTAAGGGCTCAAATCTTTAACCAGGAGACTCTACCCGAAGCAGTGACCCTGTCCATGTCCAGCCCTGCTGGCAAGAGCAAGAGAGTTAGTACAGCTGGGCCCCAGGGCACTGATCCCAAGCAGAAGCCTGAAAATGACAAGCTGGCAGTAGTTAGATCCCCTGCATTCTCACTCAGCATAAACCAGACCCTACTCCGAGCAGGGGCTCCTGCTCCTCACTGCCCTTGAGATGACCTTGGGCTTGGCAGCATCTTTTTGAGCTCCAACTAAGGTGGACCCGTGATGTCAGTGGAACACTGGTTGGGCCAGGGCTAAATGTCAAACCAGCCACTTTCTGGGTCTCAGCTGCACCTACAACAATCTTGTCCCCCTCCTCACTTTACCCATGGCAGCTGGAATGAGCTATGAAAACACAAATCACATTATATCCCTCCCTCACTCATAACCCTCCAATAGTTCCCAATGCCCTTCGATTAGAATTCATTCTCCTCAGCATGGCCTAAAAAGGCCTTGTCTATGCTGGTTCACTGCCCTCTCCCCATCCCCCACGCCATCAGCCACATTGGCCTTCTTTCTGCTCCCTGAGCTCATTCCCACCTCAGGGCCTTTGCACCAGCTGTACCCTTGGCCTAGAATGCTCTTTCCCTAGATCTCTAAATGACTGCTTCTTCTGCCACTTAGGGCTCCACTCCAATGCTGCCTCCTCAGAGAGGCCCTCTCTTAACACCCTGCCCTCGCACACTCCTCCACAGAGCATTTTATCTGCTAAGCATCACTTAACAGAACTGAAACTCCTTTTTCTATTTGTTTCCTTATTTCCTGCCCATCTCCCTCACTAGGATGTAAGTTCAGGAGGGTGGGGACTATGTCACATTCACTGTCTGCCCCAGAGCCTAGCACCATGCCTGGCAAACAGCGGGCACTGTTTTAAACGTTTGGTGAATAGCCTGGAGATTATCAACATCACTGTTGTAAAAGCAGAAGCTAAGAGAAGTTGAGGAACATGCTTAGGGCCACAAAGCTAGAAAGTGGCAAGGCTAGCATTCTGCATGGAATAACCTTGTGTGGTT